GAATATCTGGAAAAAAGTGATCCCTCGGACGCATTAAAACAGTGCAATTTCATGAAAATTGCAGACTCGGTTTGATTGAGTCTGTATATGAGGAATAATGATAAAGTGCCACATCCCTCACGTACCCTGGCATATTGTGCACTCATTTAATGTTAAATATATCTTATATAGCAATAATACTCTTACTGGAGTACTGGCGTTCAATTTCTATGAACGTCTATTAAAAGTACTGTATGGGGTAATGATCGTTATGTCATACGAAGATTGTGCATTATCTTGATTTTGCACATTGATGGTGCGCGTAGTAAAGAGGTTTATACCTTCTATCATATTTGTAATCAAGAACTTACAATTAAACTGCCAAATTACATCAATTTGTGTTTAAATATTTTGCTCAAATTTGATATTTGAAAATCAGATAATTGCTATACATGTAGCTTTTGAGTACACAGAAAAAAACATAGGTTACGTTTTAAAGTTTACACACTATAGCTAATTTAAAAACATTTTGAATACATAGTGGCTAGGAAAAACTGGAATTTTTGAGGACTAAATAACCTGGCCAGTTTAAGGGAATGCTCCTTCCACAACATTTTCTTATTCGAATTAGACATTTATATTAAGAATCTGCCAGTTCCTATAATAACAGTTAAGCATAGTATATCTTTAAAATTGTTTCATAAACATGATTATAGATAATGCATGTCTTGCTCGGATTAATGTTTTTTACCTTTAAAATATAACATAAATATTTTCTTTTCTTATAACTTTTTTTAAAACAAAAATATGTTATTGTTTCATGTTAATGATTCTAAAATGAAACAATAGCGTATGGTCCGTTTCGTGGTCTTATAACTGTGCATATGATTGGTAACTTGGAATTCGGAACATAGTTATAAAAATAAAAAAGATAAAAAATGGATAATTGGCAAAGCAAACAGCATAAAATCCAGATATGATTCTATAAAAAGCGAGATACAAAAGATTTTATCAACAAGAAAAAGAGTGGCCTTTTTCTGTTAATTTGAGTTTAAAGATGTTTATTTTCTCTATTTCATCGCCACATCAGCGTTGTTTGCGCCGTGTGGAGGCCCGTACAATCAATCAAGGATTTTATATTTCCGACCCTTCAAGATCGTTCAGCGCGACATTATTCTTGTGTATTTTTTTTCAAATGTAATTATTTGGCGTTTTCTAGATGGGTAGGTTGCAATATTCCTACTTGAAAAATGTTAACTCACCCTTAGGATTGAATGACGCTTATTGTGTTCCACAACAGGAACATTTAAATATGAAAAAATAGTGAAATTTTGAAATGAGAAACATTTAAAGATGTGTTAATACGGCGATTATCATGAAACTTTTAATTTGACATACTTGTGCTATTCAATGAAAAGCAGTGTATGGTCCCCAAGTACCATAATGCGTCTGCCCTAAAGGAGAAAAAAATGAGCTGAACAAAGTGGTTAAGAGGTTATGAAACATACATATTGCAGATAAGACGTCAAAAATTAAAATGCGGGCAACATATCCTTAGGTGATTAAACAGTATTCACCAGTAGGTTGCCTGAATAACAAAAATTTGATTGTAAACCTTCAACTTAATTTATCCTTAGAGTTAATGGAAATATTACGCACTCACATTAGCATGTACGTTTAAGGAATACGGACATAGTGGTTTATTTTGCATATTATATAACGAAATACTTTTTTCACTTGATGAACAACGACAAAAGTATCATTAATGACGAAAACAATCTGCTAAACAGCTTGCGGATTTCATTTTGCAATGAACAGAATGCCAAGAAAAATAGTGATATAATTGATTGATAAAAGGAACCTGTTAGAAGGCGGGGCTCTTGAAAGGTTGTTAAGTCATAATGAAAACAAAAACAAGATAATCCAGAGCACTTAAAAGAAAATTCCCAGACAAAAACGCTTAAATGTGAAATATAGGTTGTAAGTGCTTCAAGGTCGACATTCTAGGCTTTCTGGGAGCATAAGATAAGGTACCCCGCTATTCTAGCTACATTATATACATTTCTTCGGGAGTTAAAGTAAAGCATAGTATCAATGCATTCCCTTGTTTTAGCTCAACACGTATTGCAAACTTTTAAAATCTGTATTTAAAACGTCCGACTTTTAACGACAACCAACATGATTTAATGAGACTGAAAATCAACTTATTAGAGCAACATTCACAGAAAGCAGCCTCATTACATCCTGAAATGTATACATCAGGCAATACAAATTATAAATACACGACGCCAGTGTTAGTGAGAATGCGTTTATTTGTTGTAATCACACAGCTAAGTACATGTCGATCTCGGCTTTTTATTACTTTCATTACTTTGCCCAGAGACCACTGTCCTCTTGGCATATTTCCGTCTGCTACCAGCACGAGATCACCTTCAACAACGTCTCTGGTTGACTTCTGCCACTTCTGGCGGCATTGGAGAGATGGCAAATACTCGCGTGTCCAACGCCTCCAAAACACATCGGCCATATACTGAACTTGGCGCCACCAACGTTTAACATACTGATCTTCTTTTCGGAATACACCTGGCGGAACACTAGATTTTTCTTTCATCAACAGTAACATTTTTGGGGTAAGGGATGGAATATCTCTGGGGTCGTTGCTTACTTGAGTTATTGGTCTGTCATTCATTATTTTTTCTGCCTCTGTCATCAGAGTAATAAGCGTCTCATCATTCAACAATTGTTCAGTAGGAAGTGCCTTCAGTATTGCGCTGATCTAATAAGACGCTCCCAAGTGCCACCACGGTGGCTCGCGTATGATGAATTAAATACCATTCAATTTCTCTTTGGGTCATATTACGACTTATATTCACAATATTCCATTCTCTGATAGATGTGCGCATTGCTCTCTCGCCAGCAACTAAATTTGTACCATTGTCACTATAAACATTCTCCGGTTTTCCTCGTCTATTTGTGAATTGCTGAAAGGTGCTTAAAAGGGAATCGGTAGTCAAACTATTAGCAACCTCAAAATGAACAGCTCTTGATTTTAGACATCCGAATCTTTTTACAATATTACGGCCTTGCTTGACGTTCAATGGACCAAACTAATCTATTCCTACAAAGGAAAATGGAAGCTTATCAGGTGAAATTTGTTGTTCCAATAGTGACGCCATCTGTTGGTAAAGGAGTGGGCTATTACGCTATTACGCTTCCGACATACAAGGCACTGCCTGATGAAGCTCTTTACTGAGCTTGTTCCTCGTAGTATCAAAAACTTTTCTCTCAGAGCCGCAAGCACTCTTTTAAAAATGTTCAATAACAAGCTTTGTAATACTATGTTTTTTGGAAGAATAATTAGCCAGTTATCTTTTCATGCTAGTAACTGTCTATCATCAACACGAATTAACCCGCCTTCTAATAATGGGTTAAGAGACACAATTTTGCTGTCGTTCTTCTCTGTCTTTCCTTTGTTCAACATATTAATTTCTTTTTGAAAATGTGTACTTTGTACTTGTTGTAATATGTCCCTCGTGACATTCCGTAGTTCTTTAACCGTAATCTCGCCACTAGATACTTCTACATTATGTTTTAAGTACCGATTTCTACAGAAGTATTGAAATCGTAAAAGCAAGGCAAATGCACGTTGTATGACCCTACTATTTTAAGACATTCTGCATGTTTAGTGTTCAACCCTTTTACAGTTGCACACTACGCTTTCGTCTTTTGATTACATCTGACGGACCAAGTGGGAGACTCTATGATTGATAGTTCGTAAAGCCCTTTGGGACTGAATTGTCTTAATGTTCGTCTTCTGTCTTGCTTCGTCGGGCCCTTGTATGTGATTATCTTGTTGCTCTGTCTTCCTTTAGGACATTGAGTACTTTTGTTATGGTCATTGGGTTTACTTTTATATGTTTCTACATGATCATTTTAGTGTTTTACTTATTTAACCTTTTGTAACCATGACAACTGTTAGAATTTCACTTGGCGGGGATTCATTTTATTTACACTGTCTCGTTTATAGGAACATGGTGGGGCTAAGAGCGAGGTTTGGTGCACCATTAACCGGTTTAAACTCCCCAGCAGTCATTTTTATGCTGCTGACCGTTCCAAGGCGGCGCCCCTCTGTGTTCCTCAGATGTATGTCTATGTTGTTTCATACTGTTTTGGTGACACTTTTGCTTGTGTCCCTTGTTGTTTTCTCGTCTACGGTAAGTATCTTCCCCATTGCCTCTAGTTTTTATTTCTTTGATTAACCCCCACCCCCCCCCTTCCCCCGGTCTCCTGTCCCCTTCCCCTTTGTTGGCCTATTATTCTTTTCTTTGAATTCCTAATTAGTTACAAATTATCATTTAATGGTTAACCTGTCCGTGCTCTGTCTTTGCCCTGTCCTGTTTTTGTTTTGGGTCCGCCTGGGCTCCTTGCCACTGGTTTTGTTGCTGGGTCATGTGGGGGTTGCGTTCATTGAACGCCGCCTTTCCTTGTTGATCTTATTTATCATATTTTGTAATTTATTCCAGCTTGAGTACCTGTTTATTACGTCATCTAACATAATGGTTGTCACCAAACTATTTATTTAGATTTCCCTCTTTACCTCAGTGTCATCGTTGGCTATAATAGGAATTTTTATTCGCGACGGCCAACAATTGGATTCTTTTGCAGAAATAAAGGACCTTGTAGCCATTTCTGTATACTTATAATGTCAATCATGTTGATGTCATGTCAGCAGGATTCAAACACGATTCCACGTGATGCCACTGCTCAGGTGTTTTTCATTAATAACACTCAACCGGTTGCCAACAAACGTTCTAAATCTTTTTGTTTTATTGTTTATATATCCTAACAATATAGTAGAGTCAGTCCAGAAAATGGTTTGATCAACCTTTAAATCTAGTTCGCTGTTCAGCATAGCTTTAATACTACAAGCATCCACCGTCCCCAGATAGCTCCATACGCGGAATAGATAATTTCTTCATCGGTGCTAACCGTGCCTTTCCGGTTACGAGGGAACAGGATACTTAGTCATTTTCATCAACAATTCGCAGGTACGCGCATGCTCCGTATCCCAGCTCAGAGCCATCACAAAATATATGCAGCTGAACGTTTTTTATCTTAGCAGAATCCCTTGAACGAAAACAGCGTCGTATGGCAACATTTTCAAGGTCAGGTAGACGTTCGAGCCATTTCTGCCATTCTTCTCGGTATTTCGCGGGAATTTCATCATCCCATCCTATTTTTACTTTACATAATTTCTGTATGATAGCTTTTGCTCTAAGAGTTACAGGAGACATAAACCCAAGCGGATCAAATATTGAACTTACAATAGACAGCATGCCCCGTCTATTCAATGGCTTATCAGCTGTCTTCACCTTATCGTAAATGTGTCGTCTTCTATATTCCAGATAACACCCAGGTAAAGCTCTGTTACAGGGTAATATATTACCTGGTGCAAGGTAAACTACGGATAATAATAGGAATAGTGTCAAGAACGGCTCTGCTATTAGTGATCCACGTAGTAAGTCGAAAACCACCTTTACTCATGATTGACTGCAAATCACGAACTAAATTAATTGCCGTATGTTCATTGTCTACTTACTTTAAACAATCATTAACATAGAAGTTTCGTTTAATTGTTTTAAGTCAGCAATAAATTTAGTTCGTGATTTGCAGTCGATCATGAGTAAAGGTGGTTTTCGACTAACTATGTGGATCACTAATACAAACAAATGACAATTCTAGTTAGAAGTTGGCGGACAACAAGTCTCCACGTCAGGCTATACAAACAATCATTCTTTTGTCTTGTATATCCCTGTATTGACTAAAATATGTATATACCTCATAACTAGCCTTTCTTATATTAATTAATGTCCACTTCTTATATCTGTCATACAAAGTCTATTACGAATATGTATCAAAAAGAAAGATTTGCGAAAAAAAAACCTTGCAGACATCAGCAATATTTGTATTAAGCCATTTTACAAGTTACTTTGAAAGTATCAGTTTATTCCCATGACTATTTCTAAATAAAATACATGAGACGTCAATACATCACATGCGCAAGAGATAAATATAATATTATATCATGTGTCCACACAACAATTGGAGTATCATTGCCTCATCTGCAGTTCTTCAGTGCCACTGTTAAAAATTCCGACGGGTAGTTTTGACAATCATTTAAATAAATCATTTGCATAATAGTATTGCACTATGCTACTGATCTACAGCTTTCGTGTTCACTATTAACATTGTTCAATACACAATTGATTTCGTAGACAGGATATGTAAAACATGTTACATTTAATATAGCTAAATGAAATTCAAAATGTTCCTGCATTTGTGTTGCTTTGAAATTCCACATTGCATACCTAAATATCTAGCTGAACACATGCTAAATACATGTAAATGACTAAATGTTTTACCTATGATTCGTTTATTCAAAGAGTTCAGAGCCATGGGAAATGTTGTAACTTACGTCGAGAATTCCATGTATATCTAGGTAGTGATCACCCCAAAGGTGAATATTTCATTAAGTATATTGAAATATGTTAGAAAATATATGAAAATGAATTTTATGATAACTTTGTTCATTAACGAATGCTTTCGAGATTCATAAACGTAGCACACGATTGTCTGATAGTCTAGCAGTACTGGATTATGTGAAGAGTAATTCCGATATATTTATCACATAAATATTTATAACGTACATAAGGCAAAATATTAACAACTATCAATATTTCAAGAATCATTTAAGTTATTAAAAGTTAAAAACCACGACTATCTATATATCAGCCCAATAATTGAACAATAATCGGAATATAAATGTACGGCGTCAGTACCTTTGACTGTATTTATTGAGTTCGTTATAATTAAGAAGCTTCGTTAGCAAATTTACCGTACTTAACTTCAATATTGCTTTATTTTTCTTACCCTTCGGAATAATTTATTCCAGCACTTTTAAGTGTTTAAAATTGAGTACCACTCAAGTCGATGCTAGGGAACGCGAGGTATGTTGCACTTTTTCATTATCCCTCATGTACAGACTCAATTAAACCGAGTCTGAAATTTTCTTGTAATTTTGATGTAATTAAAGCTTTCGAGGGATCACTCTTTAAAGAAATGTTTAAACGCGTTGCATATTTTCTAAAGATACAAAGGTTTTAAGCTGGATACTATAGAGGCTGCAATCAATGAACGTTTCCATCTCTTGCTGATACATTTGTATCTTTTATTGTAGTACATGTTAACGAAACGAGACATTGATATTTATTTATAGACACTGCTAATGGTATGTAGTCTGATACATTTACAAACACGCATCTATTTGTACAACATGCGGATTGTATAGGGCTTATCATTAATCATTTAAAAATCTTGTTTAAACGTATTATTTGGTTTGATATTGGGAGTGCTAATTGTTACTGTGTCAATATTTAAAACTTTCATGACTGTTGTATTTTCACCGAAATGACATTTAAACAACGGCTCCACGATTAAGCATCCAGGATATAATCGCTAATAGAAAATCTGCATTTTATTTTCCTGGTGCATATTGGTTCCTTTGTTCTAAGGCAATTACAAAATACGTGTTTAGTATTAAAATAAAAACACTGTGTGCTTCAATTTTACATATAAGGAGTGATTCGTTGAAAAACAACAAAACGGTGAAGCTTCAAATATTAACAGAATTCGTTTCTTATTGAAGCCACCTACGGGGAATTATCATACTATACTAAAGAACTTAACATTGTGATTTTTTTACTTTCCAAAGCTAGAAATGTACCTTACAGTTTGAAAATTTTGTTCATCACCAACACCTCGGTTCTGCAATATTCCAGTGCCTTCACAGTAAACCTAGTAAACAAGACTACAAGTAAAAAATTGCTGGGAAATGCAGCAATATGATTGTCACGGCGAAAAACAACAACAACAAAAAAAAAAACCCACACACAAAAAAAAACAAAAAAAAACAGTTACATATATTGATAAGGTATCTCCAAATAGCATTGTTTTGAAATTGACACTTTAACTTGTTCAGAAGGTTTTAAAATATCATAATCATGTAACTTGTTACAAGAGCCATGTTTATATGTAGTAGAGCAGAATAATTATCATTCTTGTGTACTGCATACCTCTCGACACCTATGAAGGTTCATGTTGATATCTCAAAGGCCTTTGTAGTTATGCTCTGGACAAAATTAAGTATGAAAAATAACGAAGGGCAATAACTGAAAAATAATGCACGGTAGGTTAAATGTCTTGTGTGCTGCACTCCTCCTC